TACAAATAGATTTTAGCAGCAGAATGTCATTTCAGGAAAAATGCACTAACATCAAATTTTATGTTTTATTGAACAAAACACCAGTAGAAACATTAAACATACAGTGAGTGAAATAAGGTGTACAATGAGTCTAAATAGCATAAGTGCTTTCAAGAAGGGCAGGAAAGTGTCACCAATAATCTGTACACTAGCAGCCCCAAAATATTGGTGACTGATGAGAACACATGTACAGTACAGATCAATATGAGATATCCCAGGCACACAACTATTACCAAAATTGCTTCTGTAGTTAGAATTTTACATGGCCTTTATCATCATATCTAATATAAACAACTGAATGTATGTTGTGTTTCCCTGTTGCTCATCTGCCAAAGATTCTGATAGATGAACAACAAGAAACATAGATGAGTTTGGCAGGTGACCTTATTGATATGGTTGACAGAGATAAAATTTTGGGGATCATCATCATAGGACAAAAGATGGTGTTTTCTGTATGATCCCTAGTCAAACATGCAATCTACTGAGTGGAGATCATCATCATAATGAAGTACAAAGTACCTGCAAAATAGAATCAAGGGGAAAAGTGATGTTAGAAGTCTTTTTTTAATATCCATGGCATTGTCCACTTTGAATTTATTCCTAAGATGAACAGTAAATAAAAAAGAATATGTGGAAATTCTTTACTACTTGATAGATGAATGAGACATAAAAGATGCAACAAACAGGAACATAAGTTCTGGTTATTCCTTCATGTTAATGTCTATTGGTCAGTTTTGGTCAAATAGTATCTAATGAAACATAACATCACTGCATTGGAACTGCCTGGATCTTGCACCATATGATTTTTATTTGTTTGGTAAAGTAAATGAACCCTTTAGTTTTTTTACTTTATTTATTTTTTATTTTCTTTATTTTTGTATTTATTGTACTTATATATATTTATGTTTAGTATTGATTTTACTTTATTTGTTATGTTATTATTTGTCTTATTATTTTTAAATTATTTTGTAGTTGTGCATTCTTTTTATGATTGGTTAATGGTCCTATCACTATGTTTAAAATTTGTTTTCTAGAATGTTGGCATTCCATTGTATATTCTATTTAAGAAAATTCATTAAAAACCATCTAAAACACTATAGTTATTAAATTTTTGCTGTGTTCTGAGGTTGTTGGAGTGTGTTTACAATCACTAATGTTTTTAAAAGCAATGTCTTGAGGTTCAAACAAATAAATTAAAATTCTTTTTTTGTGTCAACAAAGATAGCTTAGGCCCATGCAGCTATCCCTTGGATCTGCATTGGTCTTGCACCAAGTAAGAAAGATGGCTTCCAGAGATGCTTTGAGATGTATGAACACTGGCAAAAATGTGTTGCTGCTCAAGGACATTACTGAAGGACATGTAAAGAAATTTAATTTCCTTGCATGTAACAAATTTTAGAAATAAAAATATTTTCAGGAACTTTCTTATGCTACCAGCAGATGTATGTACAATAAAGCATCGTCTATCTGAACTAATTGTATCCATAAAAGTTTTGTTAATAAAATTCTTTGGATAATCAAACATGCATAAAATTATCCAAATTATATAAAACAAAGTAAAATCATAACTAAATTAGTGTACATAATGTTATATTTTAAAGCAGTTACTATTTTAACATAAAAAACGAAAACATCATCATCAGATACAAGGGCAGCTTCCCAGCAAGGGGCAGGGAGGAGCAGCTGCCCCTCCTTAGAAGAAAAAGTAAAGTGTAGTAATTGATACACAGACATACAGCATAGACATATCAATTTAGTATCAGTTTAAATAATAAATATTGTGACTAGACTAGAGCCATCTGTCATGAAATCTCACTCCCTACTTCCTCGAAACTAATATGAGTTGCCCCCCTCTAGTTCAGATCCTGGATACGCCACTGATCAGATAACTGATTCAGGAAATAATATGTACCTGATTCCAATAAATATTGAAATAATGTACATTATATTAGTATATGTACAGTAAATTTATTTTGAACTTACCTAATTGTTTCATATAGCTTCAGCAATAATTTTCACATTTATATAAAGAATAAAAAGTAAGCATGTTATTATATGATGGAAACAAGTATAATGTAAACTTGCTTACATTATACTTGTTTACATTTGTAAAGTTTACATAACATTTTTTTTTTACTGGAGTTGGTTCAGATGATTAACATTCTGATAATCAACGCTATTATATTTTAAATTTAAATCACCTGCATATGTATTAAGTACTTGACAATAACTCAATAAAGATTTAACTTGTTAATCCATCAGTTTTTTTTTGATGAATTAACAAATAAAATATTTTTTTTTTTGGTGCTTATACCATTTATAGCAATTTATTTAAATGATTATTAGTAAAGGAAATTCCATTTTTTGAGTATAAAAATGATCAGATAAAAAACCCAAACTAAGCCTATTCAAAGAAACATAATCTAATGATTTTGATGTTACAAAATGCCTTTTTAGGACAAATGGGTTTTTGAATAGAACAAAAAGTGTGTGCAAGAACACAAAAATTTGAACACACATTTAAAATTACACATACAATTTTTTTCTAGTTTGAAAATACAAAATAAAAATAAAAGTTAAAGAATATAAAAACAAATAAGTACAACAATTTTTGGTACTTTTCTGTTAATGGAACACCAACTGATATGGTAAGGTTCAAGCTCTGAATGAGGGGTTTCACACCACCCACAGAATTGTTGATCCTTCACGAAATATTCACCTCCAAAGATCAGTTTTTAATATGTATCAGTATATTGCCTATTCTACACAATGTGCATATAGTCATGTGCTTCGGTGCTTATTATCACTCACTCTTTTTCAGCACCCAGGTGGGGAGGCCCCACACCCCCTAAAACTATATAACATCATGTACTCCATGAACAATCAAGTGGACTACTCGAAGCCGGCACAGTCGCATGGGCTAAATAGTTAAACATGATAGTCTTAGCAGAGCAATGGTATTGTGCATCAGATTAATGTTACAACCAGCATCCAGTTAACAAAAAAGAACCCAATTTTTAATCAACAGTTTTTAAATAAAGTGTTGCAATAATGCCAAATACGAGTTACTCAAAAAAGTTTTGGAAATGTAATAAGGTGGGCAAATAGAGTATTCATTGAGTAATTTTTGTAAATATAACCAATAATCTGAAACTTTAAGTATTGGTGGCTTAATCAGTTTATGTTTTAAGATTAATAGCATTTCCCAAATAAAAGCTGTTTTTGTTGATTTTAATAACTTGATATTATTTCATATGGAAGAGGGCAATAATTCCAGGGCCTGGAGTGACACTGTACAGTAAACACTGTACAATATTCTTAAATAACTAGAGTGAACCTGAAGGACTTTAATATTATAGGATGGTTTTATCCTATTTTATTTATTTTATCTTATTGATTTTGATGATGATGATATAATGGTTATTTAAATTGTTTTATGTAATTTATTTTGACCAATGGCAATATGAAACATAGTTTGAAATTGATTTGATGTTGTATAGTATTCAATGTTCTGATTATATTTGAAAGAAAGTAATAAGTAATAACCTAATGATGGCCTTCAAAAAGAGCTGAAAACATTAGCTAGAGTTTAATTAAAGTGTTTGTTGAAGTATTAAGCTGTGTGCTGACGTATGTAAGGTTATTTGATGTGTTTATGTAAATTATTTAAAGGAACAATACAGAAATTTTCTTAAAAATACAGAGCGAAATTATATTAAATTACAGAAAAATACTATCTAATTACCATATTGCAAAAGATAAATGATCTCATTGAATAGAATTAAATATTTTGTGACACATTATGACTATAAAAAATATTTTAATACTTTGATATTAATTTGTATCTATTTATAGAAGCCTTGCTTAATAAAATATCCTTATTAAATATAAATTAAAATCTATTACTGATAATAAGTATTCTTGTAAATGATATTAAATTTTAAGGTAGTACTACAGAAGGTATATAGCATCACTTTATCTCTCAATTTTTTTAAAAGAGACATATATGATAAACATTTGCAAAACACATGGAATTTTTTGTCACTAACCCAAATGCTATACATCAATGATTCCCAAACTTTTTCAAGACAATGTCTCCTTGGTTCCATAAACTTATACCCAATGTCCCAACCCATTTTCCGTCATGCAAGAGACTTGTAGTATTCTTAGAAAAGCTTTTTTAAGAACCTCACATTTTGTGTCCTTGCCAAACACTGCCTGCATTCAGTAGAATCAACAGTTCTGGAGCTGTTGAGTATTTTTCTGCCTAATGTCCTCTACAGTAGCATTGTTTTGGAACATGTTTGGAATTTTGACATAACATTTAGTAGTGTCTTTCATTTATGTTACCTATTGCTACCTGAAACTGTCCAATGATAGCTGCTTTTTGTTCCAACACATACATCACTCATCATTCAGCAGATGTACTACGTAACAGCTACCGATCAAAACACCTTTGCTCAGTTACAACTGTTGACTCTGCTGAATGCAGCCATTGTTCTCAACATCCAGAAACCCATCTGTTCTCCAGAAATGTTTCTTCTTACCCGTTTTAACAGATGGAAGGGAAAGGTTTGTCGGCGACCCAAACTTTCGCCTAAGGTCACGGTTTGGTAGGATTCTGCCTCCAACTGCTTCCTCCTTGCATCTTTTCATCCCCTACATTTACTTTGCTAGCACCACTTTGGGAATCACTGCTATACACCTTCTATAATACTACCAATTTTTAAATCAGGATTATTTAAATGTGCATTGTCTCTCACAGTTTTAATTCTATATTTAATAATTAAAATATGCTAGGATAAATTGTAGTTAAATTTATCAAAGTTTACAATGAAAAATGTCTTCTTAAGATAATACATATATAAACTGAACACAGAAGAATATAGATTTATATTTCTGATGATTATTTTATTGAATACGTCTAAGAATATTAATAAAATTAAAAACAATAAAATTACCTATCGCTTAATTCGGACACTCTATTTCCTTGAATGAAAACAACGCAATATAAACCTGAAATGTAAATAATTATATTTAAAAAAAATCATACATTTCGGTAATAAACATTTCGAAATGCAATTTATTTACCCAAAATAAATAATATTGTTTGTAAGGCTACTGTACTCATTTTGTTTTTTAATCGTAAAAGCCGAACAATTTTTCCACCGTCGGATCACGTAAATCCCATTTTCACCGCGCCATCTGTTGGCCGAGATTTTTATATCAATATGGCGGCCACCACTGTTCCTTCGGGTTCCTTCCATGCTGTGAGTTTTTTTTTGTTTGTTTGCCATTTTATATTGTTACGAATAAGTTTTATTATTAAGAGAATATTTATTTTGAAAAAAATGTCGGAAGAAATCACTTCGGCGATTATATGTACTTAGTTAATCGTGAATATATAATTTTAACTATTTGTAAAATATAAATGTGCCGCGAAATACTGTCGCCCTGGATGTGGGTGTTTCGCTCTCTGTCGATGTATAATACAAATGAACATCTATCTTATTCGAGAAAAAAACGTTATGAAGTCTACCCATTTACAAATTTAATTATTATTTCATTTTTTGATTTAGCTTTTCCTATGTTTATATGAGGCATTCCATCTTTAATCTGTCTTCTCCACTTCTTTCTATCAGGGCTTCCTCTCTCTCAGATCCTCTGCCACCTTGTGTCTCCATCTCAGCTTTGGTCTTTCTTGCATCCCCCTCCCTATCACATCCAACTTTCCAATCCTCTTTCCTACATAGTTCTTGCTTCTCTCCATGTGTCTACTTTCCTGCATCTTCTTATTATAGGACTCACCTTATGTAATCATTCTTAATTCTGCCCTCTGTCACACCACACATCCATCTTGGCATTCTCATCTGCTGTCTCCATCTTTTCCTGGGTCTTGTAATTGCCCACATCTCATATTGTACATCAATACAGGTCGTGCCTAGTTTTTTATAATCTTCCTTCATTTTACAGCTTATTTTCTTATCAGACAGTATCCCATTCATCATCTTCCAGTTCAGCCATCCACTCTGAACTCTATATTGGATTTCTGCACTATACAGTGGAACCCCGGTTAACGAACGTAATCCGTTCCACGAGTCCGTTCGTTAACCGAAGCAATTTTTCCCATAGAAATTAATGCAAATACAATTAATCCGTTCTAGCCGTCAGTATTTTTGTAATTTTATTTGTAAAATGGGTTTACTTTAATGAAAATATAGGAAAACGTACTCATAAACAGTCGATCTACGTTAAATTTTCGGAAAAAAGGAAAGATTTGATGGGTATATAAAACATCACATACGATCGTTAAAGTTCTAAAATGACAGATAGCAGAAACAATAGGCTAAATTATGAGCGAAAGGCTTGTAGGTTTATCAACAATCTCCGATCAGAGTCGACAAACAGGTGTCAAATAAACGCCTCAGAACAAACCTTTCTCGTGACCTGATCTGGTTTCGGTTTTCACCTGGAGACAAAAAGAAAACAATCGGGAAGCGAGGAATGGGACGCAGGACAAATCGTAAGGTGAGATTCAAGGAAAAAATACTATAAAAACCCCGAATATCAAGGTCAAAACGCAGTTTTCCTAAAAATTCTATGGCGATTAATCTGTGTTGTCTTCGTCTGGATTAAGCCTGAAGTCGTTCCCACTAAAATTTGTGTTGTGTCTCGCGGACTGCTCCAGTCTTGCGGCTCTGTCACCTACCATCGCTTCTGTACCAAGCGAACCCATCTCATTCGCTCTGGGGCTACGACTGATCAGCTTGCACTATCGTAGGACCAGTGATACGCCACTCCTCAGTGCCGAGAGAAAATACTGTAGATAAGCCATTTCCAACTACCTCAAATATGTAAGCATCTTCCCGTTCTAATAAACTATTTTCACTATAAAATACTTGTCATCTTTGTCTCCTCTGCCATCACCAACATACGAATGGACCCTAGACCATCACCGACACATGATTAACTGATTTTCCCTAAAAGTCGGCAAGCTTACAAATTTGACACAAAAAGCCGTTAAGTTCGTAATCTGAATTTTGTTCGTTATCCGAGACAAAATTTTTGCAAAATAATAGTTTGTTAACCGATTTGGTCGTTAACCAGGACGTTTGTTAACCGGGGTTCCACTGTATTCTTCCGTTACTTGCTATGTATGATTCAAGATACTTAAATTTGGAAGCAGTTATTAACTTTTCATCATGGAATTGTATATAACATCCCCTCCACTAGATGTTATATACTGTCTTTACTCTGCTCTCTCTCCCCAGTGGTTTTTTTTTTCATTTCTCCAGCTTCTTCTCTACCTTATTTTGTGATGTTTTGTATAGAACAATGTTGTCCACAAACAGCATATTCCATGGTGCCTTGCTCCTCACATCATCTGCCAAAATATCTATTACCAAATTGAACAGAAATGGGCTAAGGGCTGAGCCCTGTGTGACAGAGGGATTCACTCTGTCACATCTATGGGTGCGTTTACTTTTTGCTAGCTGAGCTGACACCTAGTGCTGCCTGACGTCATACTAGCATGCTCGTAAAAGTATACACAGTAATGGACGCCGCCATCTTTGAACAAACTCCAAGCTCGTTGTAAATTCTCCGAGCATGCCAAGTGCACTAGGAATGCTAGCAATGACGTCATGGTGCAAAAAGTAAATGCCATGCTCATTGGTAGCTAACAAAAAGTATACAGGCTGAGCACGCTAGGGGTGAGATCAGAGCTAAAAGTAAATGCACCCTATACTACTATACTTAAGTCATTGCTCTCACACATTTCCTTTACATACTTTGCATACTTTCCTGGCATTCCCTTTACTTTCATACATCTCCATACTTCCTGTCTAGGCACTTTGTCATATGCTTTCTCCTGGTCTTTGAATACCATGTGCAGTTATGCCTGAATCTCTGAACATTGCCATCAGCTGCTTTAGAGCAAAGATTGCATCTGCTGTTACTCATCTATAGTTATCTCTTGCCTTAACCGTCCTTCCACAATTCTCTTTCAGATCTGCATTGATTGGGACATTAATTTAATTTCTTTGTAATTCTCACATTCCTGCACATCTTTTCCTTCATAAAATGGCACAAAAACATTTTTCCTCCACTCATTTAGCACCTTCTTTTGCTGCTACAGCTTCTTAATAAGATCCCATACAATATCAACATTCTTTGTCCAAACATCTCCATACCTCAGCTGAGATCTGATCAGCTCCTGTTTTTTTTTCTCCATTCTTTATTTTTCTATGTGCTCTCCACCTCCTTGCTTATATCTGCTGCCACTTCTTCATTTGTCTCTCTATCTTTGCATAGTACAGTTGGATTTTCCTCATTCAGTAGCTTCCCAAAATAATTTATGTCTTTCCTTTATTGTGCTGCAATTTGTAGAAATTATAGACCCATAAATTCCCACTGTCATCCGTCTGTCTGTTCTTAATCTCGAGAATGGTGTTAGGTAAATGAAAATCAAGACCAGGTATGGAAAGATTGGTGGCAGGAGGCCCCAATGAACTATATATGAACTTCTGGTGCAAATGAGAAGTTATATTATTTCAATTCAAAACTTCCTCTGAAAGGAGTTAGATAGATGACCAGCATGACTATTTCTAACAGGAAAAGTATGATGTATGGAGCAAGACACTACTGATTTGAGGTGGAGAGCATATATTTTAAATTAAATAAATCAAAAATATGATAAAAAATTGCAGCCGAGCATTGTGACGATGTCACAATAAATAAATGCTTGTTTGTTTGTGTGTTTGTATTTATACTTAAAAACAATTTTGAAAACAAACAGTGAATATTTTGATCTTAAGATATTTGTATTGAATATTATGTTTTTGAAAATAAACTGATTATAATTGTAAAATATAATTTTGAAATTTATGTAATTTTTTTAGGATTCAGATATTCAAGTTACTTATGAAGATCAGCAAAAAATTAACAAATTTGCTCGTCAAAATGCCAGACTTGAAGATCTTAGTGATGAATTAAAATTAAAACAAGTACAATTTAATTTATAAAGAATATTATAAAGTGTACAATATTGATGATAATGCAGATTTTAAATATTTTTGTTTTCTTTAGAAAAATATGATTTAAAAGATATAAAATTAATGCAGTTAATTATTGTAATAATTTCAGCTATAAATCTAAAAGTTTTTGTATTAATTACCATGAAAAATCAAAATTATTAAATCAGAAACAAATAGACACTTTCTATACAGCAATTAATAAACAAACATCTTGAACCGTTTACAGACCTTCATCACATTATTACATTGAATGAAAATGGTGAAGAAAATTCAAACAAACAATTCAAATTTTCTTGATCATTTTCGTTTGATATAATAACCTGATGATGGTCTTTAAAAGGTTCAAGATGTTTGTTTATTAAAGCTTTTGCTGGTATAGAGAATGTCTAGTTGTTTTTGAAGTGATTACAATACCAATTTATAGAGTTACATTGTAACATTATTAAATCAATAACTTAATTATTACACTTCTTGTCCCACTATTATAATTAATTATCTGAGTACTATAATTAGCTCTTGTTAGGACTTATCACACACTATTGATAACTCACTCAGAGATTGATGAACATTAATCAACTAATAGATATTTAATAATGTAGTTTAAGTGATCAGTATCTATTGTTTTTTAATATTTTAATGTGTACAAAAGATAAACAACTTTTTTTTAAACTATTATTTAATTTAAAAAATTGTACTTGAAAGAAGAAAACTTTTATGGAAAATTTTAAACTACAATTATTATGAAAATTGTCTACTCCAACAAAATGTATATTTTTGAGTTAATTAAAAGAATAAAATGTTCCAATCTGGTCACATTTTTGATCGTGGTGTGATAAGTCCTCATTAATAGTAGCTATATTGATAGAAGAGAAAAAAATATAATAATTAAAGGACAAAGCTTTTTGTAATAAGTTGTATTTCATTGTTTAGCAGGATTTGTTACCATTACATAACAGTTATCACTGCCATACCTCTTCCCTGTTATAGCTGTTAATCTGCTGAATGCAGCCAATATTGATTGATCTAAAAATGCAATTTTCTTTATCAGTATATTAATATATTTTTTTGAATATATTTATACTAATGAAAAATATACAATAATAAATATTGCTTACTCCTTTACTAAATTGTAAGAGACATATTGGTTTTTGTTATTAAGTTTTTGCTTTTTGTTTTATGTTTTTGTATTCTTTTATTATGATATATATAGTAATATTAATAATTAATAGAATAATTTGTTAATAGATGTAATTGTATATATTATCTGAATATTTTTAATGAAAAGATTATGTATTAGTAAATAAATACAAGTTAAATTTCTAATAAGCCCTATGTATTTTTTTTTTATATTTTTTTTATATAAGAATTACAAAATTTAGAAGATGCAAAAGATGAACTTTTAATGCTCGATGAAAATGATACAGTTCCATATCCTTTTCTTTAATTTGTTGTTAAATATTTTTATGGTTTTTGTGTAGAATTTTTATAACATATCTATAAGAGAGAATTTATGATTTCTAAAAATATCATGTATAATGAAATTCATGAAGTTCTCTATATTGAAGTTTAATTTTAAATAGATTTTTTTTAAAGTATTCATATTGATTATTTGAGCATAACCACTGGAACTTTTTGTTGAGTTTCTTTCTGATTTGGCGAGCTTTTTTGTTGGCTATATTCCTAACTTTATCCAATTGTTTGTATAGAATATTTGCATCACACAGTTTTCCAAAATATATATGGACCAGGTATAATTGCTTTTCTTTATCTGCTGTTGCTTTACATTTGCTTTTTATTAATCTTCCTAGAAGTTTACGTTCAATTTCAAATTCATTCCTCAAGTTCAATTTCAAATTGAACATAAACTTCTAGGAAGATTAATAAAAAGCAAACGTAAAGCAACAGCAGATAAAGAAGAGCAATTATACCTGGTCCATATATATTTTGGAAAACTGTGTGATGCAAATATTCTATACCAACAATTGGATAAAGTTAGGAATATAGCCAACAAAAAAGCTCACCATATTGATTATAAATGCATTTTATAGATATGTTTGATAAATAAGTTTTCTTTAAATATATGCCTACATTATTTTCTTTTAAAGCTGATGCACATGAGCAGTAAAATTAAAACAATGAATGTTGATTGGCTATGTGCTAAAGTATCAAACACTGCCAAGAGAGATCTGAATTGAAATATAATTCATTTCTTCATAATTTAAGTCTTAAGATGTATTACTTTAACTGTCATTTCTTGTTCCTCATCAATTTTGCTCTTATTCAAGTTCATTGGATTTTCATGTAATCAGCTATATAGCTTTATTATTCTGGTGCCTTACATTTACCAATTAATCAAAACATTATTAGATGCCAACTGATTTTGTTGTGCCAACTGATTTTGTTGTGCCAATATTAGATGCCAACTGATTTTGTTGGCATCCAATGTTGTACTTTTATCATTCAAGTATATCATCTTTAGAAAATCCAATATAAATTTTTTTTTCAATTCCAATATAAATGCTGATTTTGTTGTGCCAATATTAGATGCCAACTGATTTTGTTGGCATCCAATGTTGTACTTTTATCATTCAAGTATATCATCTTTAGAAAATCCAATATAAATTTTTTTTTCAATTCCAATATAAATGCTGATTTTGTTGTGCCAACTGATTTTGTTGTGCCAATATTAGATGCCAACTGATTTTGTTGGCATCCAATGTTGTACTTTTATCATTCAAGTATATCATCTTTAGAAAATCCAATATAAATTCTGAAGAATTGCCTTGTTATTGGTTATGGCTGTTCAAAACAATTTTTTAAAAACAAATTATGTTGTGTTGGAGCACATTTCATATAAGTATTGTATCTTTTTTTATTTATTTACATAAAGTGTTTCCTTAACATATAATTACATATATGTTAGGTGAGGTATTTGTTAATCTTGAACAGAGTCAAACTGAAGAAATGTTAAATAAGACTGAGGAATCAATAAATGCTGAAATAGCAAATATTCAAGCAAATTGTGAAGCAATCAAACAAACTATGTCAGAGCTGAAAGTTCAGTTGTATGCAAAATTTGGAAGTAATATTAATTTGGAACCAGATGACAACTAATACTTGAACCAAATATTGTAATCTATTACATACTGTTTCTAACTTATTTTCAATCAATAAATGACTTGAAATTACATGTAATACTGTAACACATTAATCAAAGAATGTATACATGTATTGTGTTTCAAATCAATTTGTTTCTCTAAAGTACTATAAAAAAACAAAATCATTGAATCTGATATACATTAAAACTTCCAATTATCTTTACTAATTAGTGTACAGGTGTGCATGGAAAACAGATAATCCAAAATAGTCCTCTAAACTATAAAAAAAAATATTTAGAGGTTTTAAATGAACTACAGTATATATACAGCTCAACTCTTACAATGTGATGCAAGTGTGAGTCCCAAGTTTCATATGCTGAAATGTATATTTAGTCAATAAACATAAAATGTAGATTTCTTTTGTTTTCAAAAGTATCATGTAGAAATTTAAATTTCCATTTCTGTACTGTATATGATTTGTACATTTTTTCCAAATTACTGTATTTTAATTTAGTATTAGCGGATTGTTTTTTTCCAAAGCTATTTGTATCACCAACTTTGCCTATTGCAAAATAATATTCTAGAACTAATGACATTTCACTTCCATCCTTAGAATTGACAGTAGAGGAAAGAGAAAAAAGCTGAATGTAGCATATGATACTTTACAGTAATTGCAGGCCTCGGAGTCGCTCACTTTTCTCACTTGTACTCACTTTTCTGAAGTATCCTCACTTTTCTCACTTTTCAGGTCATTTTCTCACTTTTCACACTTTTTTGGTCATTTCTACGTGCTTAAAAATTAGGAAGATGTGGGACCAATCAAAAATAGTTTTAAAGCCGGACGATCTGCCGAATTATCAAACTATCGGACTAGATTTTTATGGAAAAAAATACTCCGCCCGAGCGGGACTCAAAATCGCAACTGCCGCTCAGTGTTGTTAAGTTATCGTCTGTATTTATACGTAACTAGGTAGTCAGTAAGGCTGTGTACACACTAGGCGTTTTTAAACGCGCGTTTTAAAGAACCAAGAGTTCTACATAGGCGTACACACTCAAA